AAACGAACTTCCGAAGAGTCATCTCATTGTGGCCATTGTCCCACTCACAATAGCTTCTCCTCACACTAAATCCTTTCTCAAAACCGTAGTTGTTATAGAACTGAAATCCTTCTTCCTCATTAGGAAACATCTTCCTAACAATTTCATTGTACTCCAGCAAAGACTCAAGATCCGACATTTCCTCTTGTATCTATTAACAATATTAAACAAATTAAAATTCCACGGAACAAATTAGACCCTCCTAGCTCTAGTAGTGTGAACCGAAATTTATCTACCTCTAAAAATGGTAAATTTCCACGAACAGAAAAATCAACCTGCTTTGGAATTACTGGAATTTTCATTAGGTACCTACATGATTGACAGAAAGTTGCTAATCTGTCACATTCTAGGTTGATTTCTGCTAATCCATGCAAGGTACGCCTAACAAGCAGTTTTGGCAGCTAGCATTTTTCAGATTGGCATTGTCACGTTCTAGGTTGTTCCGTAGTTCATTCTTGCAGCGGCTGCAGCTGCTCTCTCTCACAGACTCACTGTGCTCACAGCCAACAACTGCTGCTTTTACAAGCAGCCGTCCAACCCAACAAGATAGAAATTTATTAGTATCTTGGCTTCTACCCTAAAGCCAAACACAACTGAATAAGCAATAGTACTGATTTCCTTTATTTCAGCAGCACTGAAAATACAGAAGGTTGATAAGATCCCTAATGTTGGAGTTACGTGAGAGCGTACTCTTCAATAATTTATTACAAACACTAGATAACATGGATGAGAGATAACAGGAAAGATATTAAGGATCTTGCTTAATGTGCCAACTTTGACTAGCCATCTATTTTTGTCATTTTTGTAACTGACCATGCTTTTGGTAAAGATGTGTGAAAGTTAGCATCATATCGCTATGCAGTAACACCTAAAGGTACAAAAATTTCCATTACAAAGCTAAAGGTACCAGCCCAGACCATCAAAACCGTGTGAGATCATATCGGGGATCACTAAAAAAAGCATACACTCTAATACGCTAGCTAGGCGAGCATCAAGTCTACATTGACAAAACATTATTATATTAAGTGCCTGGATCATACACGGAAACAGTGAAAAATAATTATGTGAGTCCATTCTTAATATTTTCAGCTGTGTTACAATTAGGGAACTGCACAAATGCATTGTTGCATTCCTGAGTTGAATATATGAGATAAATCAAAGGCAAAACAAGTGCATAGGAGGGGAACCTTGGCCTTCTGCGATTGGAGCTCGATCGGATCCAGTGGCGAGCGCTGTCGACGGAGGGCACGGGACCACCGGCGGGGGCTAAGCACGTCTCCTTGGAAGCTACGACGACAGCGCGGGCGGGGGCACGGGGTCCCCTGCGCGCTAGGCGTGGGCACAGGGTCCCTAGGGGCCGCACACACCAGGCGGGGGTGTCGGGGAGGAGGGAGGAGAGACGGGCTCGGTGCAAGCGACGAGTGGGGGCGAGGGCAGGCCACCGGCGGCGGCGCCGCGTGATGGTGAGGGTGAGGCGGTGGCGAGATGCGTCCTTCTGCGTGTGGGTTAGGGCGCCGCGCGATGGCGATGGCGATGGCAAGGCGGCGCCGGCTAGGGCTAGTGCGAGGGCGAGGCGGCGACGACCAGTGTCGCATCCTTCCGTTGTGGGTTCGGGGGAGATGGGTTGCCAGAGAGGGGGGAGGCTGTGGGTGGGCTGCTGGGTTGCGAGGGAGGGGGAGACGCAATTACAATACTAACCTTCCACTATTAAAATTAATTAGAGCTAATAACTTGCTTAGGAATCAAGAGGAACCAAGAAGTATCCCAACCACTGTAAAAGTGCTCAGAGAATTTTTACGATGGTTGTCGAAAAATGGATGACTTAAAAAGCTAACTGATGGAGGAGGAATCAGCGAAGCCGGCAAGGGATTCCCCACTAGGCTACCTGCAGGAAACCGAAGAATCAAGATGGGGATATCCTGCGGTACCATCCGACATTGATATCGATATTTTAGCTCCACTGTGTTGAGATGTGGACAAAAGTGACCCCTAACACGTGGAATGGATATAGGATAGCGCTAATCCTGGCTCTTCGGTGCCTCGAAAGGGCAATACGTGGGCCTGGGCGCACGCAACTCCATCGGCCCACAGTTCAGGATTGTCGTCAGACAATCAGACTGGTAAACAGTGGAGCTGGCTGTCGTTTCATCTGTGATGCGTGGCTCACAATGATGTACAAGTGGATTGGCAGTCTATGCGCACGCATTTGACATTGCGTATGTACGTACCCCTGGTTCTGGTTGTGTACGGCGAATATATACCAGTATACCACGTTATATATCGTCCTTATTTTCAAGCTTTGGGTGCTTTGTGCTCGGTCCCCGTGTTTAGCAGTGATATAAGGCGCGCTTTGTTATGGCGTGACAATCATTGGGTGCCTAGCTCAACGGCGATGATGTCTTTTAGGTGTCGTTATCCTTCTTAGAGGTGACGATTCTATCCTATCCTAGCGGATCGGAGGTGGCGACTACATCGATCCGTATCTTTGATGGAGTCGTCGCTTTGGAAGACTCTTTTTTGTTTTTGTTATATGTGCTATTTGTGTGTGGTTGTTGTCCAGTTCAGATTCTTCGGCGCCTATTCGTGTCTGGCACATTCCCACTGCCTGTGTTGGTGGAAAGTGAGGAAGTGTTATACCGGTGATCTTGGTTCGGTGGTCAGGGTTTCAAGCAGCAGCAGATGAAGTTGTTTCTCTTTATGCTCGAAAAAAAAAATATGCTAAAGAAAAAGGGTTGTTTCTCTTCCACTGCTAAGTTTGGCTTATGTCGACATTACGGGGCAAGTCGTGAGAAGATGAATACGTAGTCAAGTAATCTGAAGATTTTGAATCTCTTCATTTTATTAGTTCGAAGTGGTTTTCTTTGGTATATGTACATGTATGTATTCTGGGTACCACGACTGAGTGTTTGGCTAGCTGTCACAGTTTCTTCAATAGTAGCTAGCTGAAAAAGGCCTGCAAGAGGGGCCCAGACGGACGACCGGACGGACGGCCCTTGCGCGCGGCGAAAAGCCGCTAGAATATCCCGCCACCACCACCCTCGCTAGCGGGAGATGCGGCACGGGATATTCGAGAGGTGCTGGGGGAACATTCCCGTTGCCATGGAATCGCTACCCAACCTGGCCGGTGCAAGTGAGTGGTGACGAGTACTCCTACTCTCCTGCCGCCCAAACACCACCCAAGTGCCTGCAGCCATGTATTACGAGTAAATAGTATACAGGTTCGTTTATCTTTTGAATAAAGAACCGTGTACGAGTTTGTATATTCGTTGGTTTGGCAAATATTCGCTCTATAACAGCCACCAACGAATTGACATGATTCTGCCATTTTTGTTCCTTAGAAAAATCTGAACATATCATCCTTTGGCTCATGGCGGCCTCCATACCTATCCACCACATTGGTAAATGGTAATATTGTCCTTTCTTTTTTTAGTTTAGTACTAGATTTGTGGCTTTAATTAGGTTTTGGTCCTATCTCGCACCATGCTGTCAAGAAATTAACTAACCTCGATGAAAGATCTGTCGACAATCGACAACAATGCTCACGATTGCCATATGATGTCGGTGTAGGAGTCTGAAGAATGCACATGAAACTTGAAAAACCATACATTATACACTCAAAACTAAACAGTTCAGAGTGGTTTTCAAGGGTGGCCGAAGATCCATGAGCAGCGGGCAGTAGCAAATTAGGGAAGGGCACCCCGTGGCTTCCTTGTGGCCGCTATAGTGTGGGATCAATATTGGCCTCTATAGCGGGATCAATATCAATAGCACATGAAAGAGCTCACCATGGCTCTTGATTTTCGATACGATGATGACAATTACAACAATGTGAGGTCAGTAGGGATGTGTTAGAATGTGCAGCAGATCTGGCCCCGCTTGCTCTACCCACAAGCCGGCACCCCTCTGACCTGGATCCACCGAAGCCTACAACAAACTAAGGTCTCGAGCCAACTCAGTCCAAAAGGCTAGCATGATAGTGAGGGCTACCCCCACCTTATACGTTGTGCTCTCCCAACATCAATTACCGGTGTGGGAGTAAACCTAACGGGGGATTAGTGAGACCACTTGGATGATGAGGACGGGCGAATTTGGGTAATAGTACGTGGGAGAGAGGGGGGAGGAAGATATAGGGACACATGTAGAGAGAGGATGATTGTGTATGCCCACGTGCCACATCCATGGACTACCTTCAAAATTACTTTTAATATTGCAAGAGGGTGAATTGTTCGGTTTTGAGAGTTGAGGTTGTATGATGTAAGGTTTTTAGAGTTGGGGTTGTATGATGTAAGGTTTTTAGCAAATCCACTTTGAAATGCTACAGGGTATTTATATAGTTTTGAAAGTTGGGGAGGGGTATTTATAATGTTTGTTTTTCCCGTTCTTGGAGTTTCCAAAGTTTGTGTCAAGTTCAGGGTGACAAATAAATGAACTTTACTCATTTTGTTTCAAGTTTTTCTATAGGGGGATATAACACCGAATTGTTCCACTAGTATACTTGTTTGTTGTTGCAAAATTGTTTGCTATGAAAAAATTTGCTATGTTTTTCGGTTAATTTAGTCAAACTTGTAGACTTGATATAAATCTAGCTAAAATACCTTACATTTTGGAAGAGGGGAAAACACCGGCAGAATCAGGGACAATAACAACACCAAAAGGAATATATGAAACGTTATTAATATTTACATCACATACAGATGCATGATTTGATTTCTAGTTAACCAATCAGTCCAAGGAATCGATGTACACGATCATCCTTCCCAACCGTTTCAGAGCATCTCAATCAAAGGAAGTTAACTAGTACAACAACATACAATGAGGACTGCAGGGTGCATATCACTACTATTTTTTTGGTAACTTATTCTGTTGTCTTACTCAGAAATATAGAGGGCAAAACGCTGGATATATATCGATTCATGCAGCTAAAATCAGAAGCAAAGTTGGCGATCAAGGGCGTTCATTAACTACGCAGAGGTGGTCTGCGACGACGACGACACGGCCGGCGACCCAGGGCAGGCGTCCCCGCTGCGCCGCCCGCCGGAGCAGCTGCTGGACTGCCTCTGCGGACGCGGCTGCAGCAGTCCGGGCGTCAACGTCGTCGTCGCCACCGGAGCGTACACCTTGTTAGCGGCTGTCGTCGTCGTTCCTGACGCGTCGCCGGGTAGGTCGTGCACCTGGTGCGGCTGTGCTGCCGCAGCCGCCGCCGCCGCCGCAGCCGCGGCAGCGTACTCCGGCGGTGGCACCCAGATGCCTCCCACCACGACGAACTGCGGTGCGGTTGACGGCGTTACGCTGGTGCCGCCGCTCTGGACCGCCGCCGTCGAGTTCGGCCGCCTCGTGTGCAAGCGATACTTCTGAACTCCCAAACCAAGAAGTTCAAAATGAGAACAGATGCTACTATGAGCTGCAAAATACACTCTTTTTTGAGGCAGTCAGTTCCTCACCTGCAAATGGCTCTTGACCTCATCGTTGGTGAGACCGTCGACCTTCATGAGCTCCCGGATCTGCTTCGGCGTCGCCGCTACATCGATATATGAGCATACATTAACAACTTAACACCACAATTAGTTAGATTATTAATTAGATAGATGGTACTCGTCCGAATCAGTCAGAGACTAAGTGTACACATTTTTTGATTTGGAGTGTTGGTGATGAGGTGGTAGGATCGGCTCTAAATCATAATAGAGCCAACTAGGAGTAGACCTCTTCTCCAGTTGGGCTGGTTCTTGTTCTTTGAATGTCCTTAGTCTTGGTCTTTTTACCTGTTTTATTTTATGCAGTTGTTTTTTCTATCGTTTTTGCTGGTTTCTGTTTTGATCAGTAGGGAGTTGTATTTGCTCTCTTTTTTATATCGTCTACTAAAATCCACGGCAAATCTTTTTGCCACCCTTTCAAAAAAAAATGAGGTGGTAGGATAAGGATGAGCATCTTACCGTGGGACCCGCCGAGCTGCTGCAGCGCCTGCAGGAACCGGCGGTGGAGCTCCGGCGCCCAGCACCGCCGCGGCTTTCGGCTGGGCGCCTGCGACGACGACTGGGCCTCCTTGTCCTTGCCGCCTTTGCTCGTCTCCTTGTCGCCGCTGCGCTTATTATTCTCCGCCGTGTCGGTGGCGGCCCTGTCGCAGCTGTCCCCGACCACGGCCGAGCTCGCCGCAGCCGGCAGCTCAACGCGCTGCTTCTCCTTGTCCTTCTGCTTCTCCTTCTCGAACGGCTGGAACGCGCCCCCGGGCTTCCTGCAGGCGTTGAGCGCCACCGGCCTGCACGGAAGCAGCTCATCCTGGTGCTGCGCCGGCGGGGGTTGTTGGTTCTGGGTCCAGAGCTGCACGGACTGCAGCCAGTCCGGCATCGCCTTCCTGGTCTCCGGCTGTGGCAACCGCCGCCTGCTGCTGCTGGCTCTGGCTGCTGCCGCCGTCTCCGGATCCCCCGGCGCCTCGTCGTTCTTGTCGGCATCGACGCCGCCGTTGGCCGTGCCGGCAGCGCGATGTTGGTGTTGGTGGTGGTGGGAGCTGTCGTGCTCATCGTCGTCGTCCTCGGAGGAGGACGAGAGGGTGGGCTTGAGCGGCATGAACTCCTCCAGCACGGGCCCGCCGTGGTCGCTGACCGTCTCCTCGCTGCCGCCGCCGACGCTGTCCATGTGGCTCCTCATCCCCTCGATGGCTGCACATCCACAGCACACGTACTTACAAATCAATGGGAAATGGACGACGACGACGACGACACAGCAGACGAAGCTGAGGGCGAGTGAGAGCACGCGCGCACTCACTCTGCGTGACGAGGTCGAGGCAGAGCGGCAGCTCGCGCTGGAACACCTGGATCTTGCGCCGCTCCTCCTCCAGCGCGAGCAGGTACTCGCGGCAGCGGCGGCGGTCGGCGTGCAGGGGCGGCGGCGGGTCCATCTCCATGCTCCGTCCTGCGCCGTGCCGGTGCTAGAGGGCCAGGCCAGCAGCACTGATTGTTGTGCGGCGGGCCGTGGGAGAGTCGGAGAGCGCGGAGAGGTAGAAGACGAGAGAGGCGGGGGAGGGGAGGGGAGGGGAGGGCCGGAGGGGAAAAGGAATGGGGAATCGAGGTCGAGGCGTCGCGTAGGAGGCGAATCTTTCTCACGCGCACAGTGGCACAGGAAGACAGAAAAAAAGGGAAGGGCGTGGAATATTCGGCGGGATTCCAGTTCCCCTGCCGCGACGCGGGTGGGGGGCCCGGCCCAAGCCCAACGGGATAAGACCAGGCGCAGATGCCGCGGATCAACGCGGAATCTACCCCGGGGCCCACCGGCAGCTGTGTCACCGCGGTCTCTGGAGTGGAGCGCCCAACCCAGACAACGATGCAAGGGAAGATTCCGGAGAAATCCCACTTCCCTCTCCCACTCCATTTTTCTCCCCAAGTGGAGTCCTGCTACGCATTAATCCTTGATGGAGTCCTGCAACCCATTCTTGAATCTTGTTATCTTCAGCGTCTTCGATAGCGTTTCACGAGAGTTTTATGACTGATATACGGCATATATCGGTCATGTTCGCTGATTTATTATGAGAGAAAAATATTGTACCATAACAGATAAGTTCAAGTAAACAGGGCCATTAAAGATTACTTAGGATTGGTCCAATTTTATTTCAATGACATAAAATAAAACCCAAGGCTCATAATTAGAGCTACCTATAATAAATGATAATCCTGCATTGAAAATTGATCAATGCTTCACTCAACTTAAATACTCCCTCCATCTCACAAAGATGCAAACCAAGGTAGAGAGGAAATTACAAAAATACCCCTATGAAGAAGTTACTGATGCATTGACAGTTGTATTTTTTTTATGCCTCATCCCTTCAAGTACAGGCTATAGGCCCCGTTCGCTTGGCTGAATTTGGCTGAAAAAACAAGCAAAAACACTGTTCCGGCTGAATTGTTGTGCGAGAAAACACTGTTCCGACTGAAAAAAGAAGCCGAACAAACCAGATTTTAAGATAAACGAACGGGGCCATAGTATCTAAACTTACGCACGCACACACCACACACTCACACCACCCCTAACGCAAGCTAGATCCTACAACCTATACCTAGAGAACTCACGTGGCTAAGAAGTACCCGAAGTCATGAGGCTTCGAACGCGTCGCCATGTCACCCTAACTATTGTAGGACATCCACGTGCGAGGCAACAGAAAATTATTTGCTTGCAGGAAGCAAGCGGTGCAGAACCGGGGTTCGAACCCCGGCCAGCCAGCTTCCACCATTGGATCTGGGCGAGAGGGGGGCTTTGGGAGGGAGGAGGAATATTTTATATTCATGAGAAACAGTACGTACGTGTGTAGCTGCCTACTTAAAATTAAGGTTTTAAATCTGTTTGATGCTGATCAGTTATCTGTGTTTATGTTGAACTTAGTGGCTATAGGCTATTGCCCCATTTAGCCTCCGCTATAGCTGTTTTAGAGGTCATCCGCTAAATACCTTTAGCCAGAGAATTAAAACCTTGTTTAAAATCCATAGCCGATTGGAAAGAAGGTCTAGCCAATCGACGTACATCTATTATTTTTCATCGTTATTTATCTTTTCTGTACATTAGAACAGTAGTACGTGGCGAATCCTAATCTTTATTAGAAATTGGTAATCTTTGTCGTTCTGCCCTGAAAAATGGTCAGATCTTATCAAACATGGGAACGGGGAACTTGCTCCTGTAAGCATTAAGTTTGCGGTAGACATGACCAAAACTGGCCTAGCCCGCAGGACCTGCTGACCCTACTATACAGGGCTTAGACTAAGGGCCAGTTTGGTTGCCGAAATTTTTGGCAAAACGATACTATAGCGTTTTTGTTGTTATTTGGCAATTAGTGTCCAATCATAGTCTAATTAGGCTTAAAAGATTCGTCTCGTGGATTTCGTCTAAACTGTGTAATTAGTTTTATTTTTTATTTATATTTAATGCTTCATGCATTTGTCCAAAGATTCGATGTGACGAAAAATCTTGAAAAATTTAGCATTTTGGGAGGGAACTAAACAGGGCATAAGTTTTTGTTGTCCAAAAATTAAATCTCGTTCGGAGCCTAGCCCCAAACAAGATTTTCATTTTGTACACTAAAAAACACGGGTGGTCCATTGAGGCCCAAACCCGACCCGAAATGTGAGGTCTGAACCTACTTAGGCCCTGTTTAGTTCCTTCCCAAAATGCCAAATTTTTTAAGATTCTCCATCACATCGAATCTTTGGACGCATACATGAAGTATTAAATATAAATAAAAAATAAAACTAATTACACATTTTAGACGAAATCCACGAGACGAATCTTTTAAGTCTAATTAGACTATAATTGGACACTAATTACCAAATAACAACGAAAACGCTACAGTGTCATTTTGCCAAAAATTTCGGCAACCAAACTGGCCCTCACTAGGTTGGGATGGGCACTGTTTTAGTCCGAAGCCAGTTGGGTCTTTTGTAGGCCCGGCTTGCGGTCTTCTGAAGCAGCGTCGTAGACATTGACACCACCAGAAATCAGTTACTCGGCCTATTCGCTGGTTGGTTTCTGGGCTGGTTTGGATTGATTGGTGCTGGTTTATTGTGAGAGAAAAACACTGTTGGCTGGCTGGTTTAGGCTGGCTGAAACCAACGAGCGAACAGGCTGAGTGATCTAGGCACACAAATTACTACAAATCCAAGTAAGAAAACAAGCAGCAAGCCAAGCAACAAGTAACCTCCGCTACAAAATTACAATCTACAACGTTCAAACTCACAGCTATACACATGGCCTTCGGGAATGATAAAGGCCGTGCTTGGTTTTGCTTCTACTATGTATGCCCGGCAGAGTTAGCGCGCGGACGTCCGGACTTCCGCGGTTGTTGGCCTGCTGAGCCCGCTCGCTCGCGCGCTGCTGCTTCCCGTGCCCAGTTGCACACCCTGCTCCTTGCCCGTTGCTCGCACTGCTGCTATGCTCGCCCTGCTGCTTGCCCGCGCCATGCTGCTCGCCGGCCCGCGCTGCTCCGCGGGGACTGGCTGCGCCCGTTTCCGCGTCTCGTAAGAAACACTTGTAATATGGAGGACTTATGTAATATACGTCTAAAACAGATAAAATATTTAAAATATATATTTACAACATATGTATGTAGCCACTGCAATAATATATGCAACATTCAAATAAAATACTTACAACATACGTCTGAAATAGCTGAAACATTTGAAACATACAATTGCAACATGCTTATAAAAACAGCTGAAATATTTGGAGCATACACTTGCAACAAACACGTATAGCCATTGCAATATGTGCAACATCTAGATAAAACACATGCAACATCCACATGAAACATCTGAAACACTTGAAACATAAGCTTGCAACATGCGTTTTAAGCGCAATGTCACCTTGCTGCTTGGACGAATGGAGGTTGGTCGTTGTGGAGCTCGACATCGGAGCAGAGGTCGGCGGCGCATAGAGCTCGTTGGTGCCCTAGCGGAGTGGCGAGCACTGCACGACCCTGGGCGAGCACTTGCTCGGCGGCCAGGGCGAGCACCTGTGCGAGGCCGCAACAGCCCACCTGGCGAGCACCCCTGGCGAGCACCGGTGAGCGCCCCCTGCTGGGCGACCACCCCTTGCGACCATCCCTGTGTAGAGAATTTTTTTAGATGAGAAGGGGGCGCGGTAGCGAATGGGAAGCTGCGTCCGGACCGTTCTCACGAGAGCATTATCGATGTATACCTCTATGGGCTATGGCCCTTGTACGCGCGAGAAGTGACACCTGCGCCCGCCACACCCAGCATCGAACGCGCGTGCGTCAGGGAGCAATCTCACGTCGCGGCTCCGAGCGAGTCTTGCTTGAATGCGCCGCACCCCCAGCAGTGGAAACAAGCAAAACCTATATATCGCACAACCTTTGGCTTTGGGTTCTCCTGTCAGCAACGTTGAAACAGGCACCAAACCTTCGGTCCAAGGCAGACGTACGAGCAGAAAAAACACATGTATATCGCCGGATGGCCGGAGTAGACCCGGCCGTGACATGTGCTGCTGCGAGGTGCGAGCTAAGGTTGCAGCGGAGGGAGGCACACTGTTCACACCATGGCTGTTGTGGCAGTACGTGCAGGTAGTCGCAGAGGTTGAATAGCCTTGCCAAATGACCTATTTTAACACGCATTATTTGTTCCGATACATTTTGGAATCTAACTTTATGCTGTGGCTGGAAGAACGTTATTCTAACTTGTACGAACACGGAACATGAGTTCACGACTTCGGGCCACAGACATGATACTACTACTCTGGCCAGGACTACTATACTTGACAAGTGGAGGGAAAGACAGACCAAAAAAGTCCGAGGACAAAAATTTAGAGAAAGAAATTCTTTGTTTTAATGTTATAGCAAATATGCATACCTATACATTGCAACAAAATATACAGATTGCATCGTCTGTTCCAATATCAGTACCATAAAACGGAATATCCTTGAGTGCTGAAAACCCTCAAGAAAAACATAAAAATCATGAAGAAAATTATTCTTGGCGGCTACCCCCCTCAGGGAAGGAACACTAAGGTAGCGTTTGGTTGAGAGTCAAAGTGGGGTGGGACGGTCCTGACTCTGATTCGTGGGATGGGACGGCTCCATTTTCTATTTGGTTAAGGAGGATGGGACAAATCCGTTTTCTGTTTGGACCAGAGACAACAAAAGTGGGATTAGCTACTGACAGGTGGGACCCAATTGTCAGTTTTTTTTAAATTTTTTCTTCTTTTCTCTTTCCTCTCCTTATCTCTTCGATCCCAACCGCCTGGACTCGAGTCTCGCACATGGGCACGGCCCACCTCGTCTCCTCCGCCGGCACCTGGCTTCCCCAGTGAGCTCGCCCCACGCCTCCATCCAGCGAGCTCGCCCCGCGCCTCCTTCCCCCGAGCTCACCCCATGCCCACAAGGCGGCCCGCGAGGCGGCGGCGCTCGAT